GAGTGGTATCTCTCATCTCACGCTGTCTTCCTCCCTAGCACTAAACCCCTCATAAGCATATTTGATTTTGCTATCATGAAACTTTTCGCCGTATGTTCCCAAAGATATCGGCAACAGGAACTTCTAACTTGTAACTCTGGTGCAGAGGAGTATGTTGCAGGTACAATGTGTTTGGAATAGTAATTAATATTGCCTTTTTCAAGCTTGTGGCTGATCAGCACCACCTCTATTAGGTAATTCAGTCACGCTCACCTTTGCTTTGTTTTTTTAATTCAGTACTTTCCGCATGTCGGCATTTCGGCAAATTTTTGCGTTGCCACTGGCTACACATTGCGCCCTTGCTTTCATTGTTCTCCCTTACTTTTTTTTCTTTACTCAGTCCCACCATGGGACCCTTACTCTCCTATTTATTCTCACCCAACGGTTGTTTCTGGATACCCATTCTGGTTCACCTCCTCGTCACCTCCACCCTCCTCCTCCTCCTTGCTCCCCCACCATACCTGATGTCACCACTTTCTATCTGTTTCTGTTGCCAATCTGTTGACCACCACGTGCCACTGCTGATATCAGCAAAGCCCCAGTGGCCGGTCCAAATAGGGCAACAGGTCCATCTTCATGACGTCAATCTGCCATCCTATACTGTCAAAACATTGGTCGCTCATCTTGCCTGGTTGGAGCATGGGTGGGTAGTTTTTGAGCTAGAGAAGGTTTATCCCCTTGTGTCGCCTATGTACATCACTGTCCCATTCACTTGGGTACACTTATCTTTCGTCCATTGTCTTCGCTACAGCTACACCTACCACACGCTGCCTGGGACTCACCTGTAAAACCTCTATCCCCTATACCGAGTTAACGGAGGGATAAAAGCTCAAATCAGACAAGTAGCGTTTCAAGTAACGATTGAGAATTAATCAACAACTGAGGAAAGTATGTACATGATGGTCTACTATATATATGTTTCTGAAAGTCAGCCATGAGGCGCTGACTGAGCTAACATGCAGTAGCCATGAGGCGCTGACTGATGTTCTTTGTAATAATTCTAGACTCATGTCACGTGGTGGTCACGTGATCTGATATAACTACGTATTATGTTATCCGCGCTAAAGCAGCAGCTTAACATATCTTATCTGTCATGTGATCAGATGTAAAAGAAAAGGAAAAAGAAACTTAGCGCTTAGACTAGCGCTTCTGGTTCAAGTCGTGACATTACCCCCTCTTTAGGACTTTCGTCCCGAAAGTAGGGGTCCATCTTTCCGTTTTCCCAATTGAACAGTTGTTTTCGGACTCTAGTCGTTGTGAAGTTTTCGAAGGGTTGGAAATGTAATTGAAATCTGATCCGTCGGGGTGCACTAGGGTTGTTATCGTGGAATGTTTTTACTTTATCGGGTGAGTTGTTTAGATGTTGTTCGGGTTCCCACGTGCGTTCCTCTTTTGGATAGTTCTTCCAGTGTACTAAGTATTCCAATTTCCCTCGTTTTAGACGTGAGTCTAGAACTTCTTCGACTTCGTATTCTTCTTGTCCGTCCACTATTACCGGCGGTATTGGTTTAGGTTTCTGTTGGGAAGGGAACTGTGGTTCTTTGTACGGTGTAAGTTTTATCTCGTTGAAAACCGGATGAATAGGTCGCCATGTCGGTGGTAGCGCTAATTTATATGCCGATTCGCCTATTTTTTCCAGTATTTCAAACGGACCGTGTCTCTTGTCGTCCAGTTTCTTCGCTGGTCGATCTGTTGAGATATTGGTTGCTTCTACGTACACCTTATCTCCTATTCTATACTCTACTGCTTCTCTTTTCTTCTTATTATACTGCTTCTTCATCTGTTCAGCTGCCTTTTGCAGCGATTTTTCTGCTCTCTTCCTTGTTTCTGTCATTCTCTTTACGAAATCTTCTGCGTTTTCGTTCTTTACCCCCACTTTCACTACTTCCTGTGTTCTTGGATGATGTCCATGATTCAGGTAGAACGGGCTATATCCTGTCGCAGAATGTTGTTTGTTATTGTAAGAGAATTCTGCTAGGGTAAGCCATTCTGCCCAATCATCTTGTTTGTGGTTTACAAAGATTCTGAGATATTGTTCTATCTCTTGATTGATCCTCTCCGTCTGTCCATCCGTTTGTGGATGCCAAGCCGTCGATGGGTTCGCTTTTATCTGAAGAAGCGTATGTAGATCTTTCATGAATTTCGAAACGAATTGCGGTCCCCGATCCGAGATGATCTTTTCGGGTATGCCATGGTTCCGGAATACATGATCTCTAAATAGTCGTGCCACTCCTTCTGATGTGATCTCCATCTGCGTGGGAATTACCTTGATCATTTTTGTAAACCGATCTACTACTACCATTATCATGTTATATCCATTTGATTCTGGTAGCGGTCCGATTAGATCTACTGATATGATCTGCCAAGGTTTATCCGGGATCTCATTTGGATGAAGCGGTGCCGCTTTCTTTTTATGGTCTGTTTTGGTTCTTTGGCAGACTTCGCATCCATCTACGTATCTCGTGATATCTCTGTCCATATAGGGCCACCAGTACTGTCGAGTAATTAGCTCCTTTGTCTTATATCTTCCTGGATGACCTGCAATAACAGAGTCGTGGTTTCGTCGGATAATCTCTTCCCTTAACGTGGCATCCTTCGGTACATAGATCCTGCCTTTGAATACTATGCGACCGTCCTCGTCTAGCCATCCATCCTCTCTCCTCTCTATCTTTCCTTTCATCTTTTTTATCAATTCATCTACATTTCCTTTTCTCTTTGTAATCCACTTTGAAATCTCTAATTCTTCCTCCTGACTATCTGCGATCTTTTGTCTTTGTTCCGGAGAGAGAGTCATTCTTAAAAATAGTTTCTCATCCAGTAGTATGACGTCTTCGTTGTCGTTTTCTCCTTTGTTATGATCTGACCGCCTTGAGAGAAGATCTGCTTTTATATGCTTCCTTCCTGGCATATGATGTATCGTAAAATGATACTGGCTCAACTCTGTCATCCACCGCGCCTGTCTCCTGTTCAACTTCTTGGGTTCTTTGAAATACAGCAGATTTTGATGATCTGTCCATATTTCAAATTCCTCTTCTGCGTCTATTAAGTAATGCCTCTATTCGTTAAGTGCCGTCATGATGGCAAGAAGTTCTTTGTCATAGATCTCGTAATTGCGTTCTGTGGGGTTTAACGCTTTGGAGAGGTATGCAATTGGCTTCCAGTCATCTTTTTGTCTTTGTGATAAGACAGCACCCATAGCGAAGTCACTACTATCCGCTTCTACTTTGTATTGGCCATGTGGTACTGGGAGAGCTAACACCGGGGCTGAAGCTACACGTTGTTTTAATGTGTTAAATGCTTCTTGTTGTTCATTTCCCCAAATGAAGTCCTCTTTTCCCGTTAACTTGGTCAATGGTTTGGCTACTTCCCCGAAGCCCTCTATGAACCTTCGATAGAAATTTACAAATCCCAAGAATGCTTGTATGTCTTTCTTATTTTTGCATTCTGGCCATTTGCTGATTCCTTCTACTTTCACCGGATCCATGCGAATTTCGTTTTCTGAGATGATCAGTCCCAGGTATTCCACTTCTGTCTGTTCGAAATCGCATTTTTCTGGTTTAAGATAGAGATGATTTTTTCTCAGGATTTCTAACACACGTCGCGTCGTTGCTTGGTGCGTTTCTATATCCTTTGTGAATATCATGATATCATCTAGATATATGATTACTAATCCTTCATCTATCAACTCTCTAAAAAGCGTGTTCATCATCATTTGGAACGTGGCGGGGGAATTTGTCAGTCCGAAGAACATGACTAGTGGTTCGAATAATCCCCGATTTGTCCTAAACGCCGCTTTATGCTCATCTCCTTCTCTCATTCGGATGTTATTATATCCCCATCTTACATCCAATTTTGTGAAGTATTTGGCTCCACTCAATTTGTCTACTAGTTCCCCGATCAACGGAAGTGGATATCTATTTTTGATGGTGATATCGTTTAGCTTCCTATAATCTTGAACTGGTCTCAACTTCCCGTCTTTCTTTTTAATGAAGAAGAATGGTGATGCAAATGGGGACTTCGATGGTCTGATCCGTCCCGATTCCAGATTCTCTTTTAGGAACGCATCTAGTTCTTCTTGCTCTCCTCTTGCCAATGGATAGATCTTGCAATCTAGGGAGTGATCTCCCGGTATTAGTTCGATGGCATGATCCCATTGTCTTCTTTCAGGTAATGTGTCAAACTCCTTTTTATCAAATACGTCTTTGTATTGATGAAGGTGTTTTGGCACTATCTTTTCGAATCCTCCTTCTTTTCGATCTTTGCCTGCGGCTTCTGCTAACTTCTGTGCCATTGTGCCTTGGGCTCTGATGTAGTAATATTGATCGTCGATCGTGGCATCTTCGAAATTATGGAGATTCACCTGTATCATCCTCTCATCTTCTCGTAGTTCCTCAAAGAATATTTCAGGATCCTCCTCTGGATCAGAGATTCGGATCCTTGGTCTACATTCTTCAGGACACCTTTCAAAGGTCAACTTCGATTCTTTCCAGTCTATTTTAGGATTATGTTTGTTCAACCATTCATGTCCTAGAAACATTTTTCCGTTACCCAGATTGGTTACGGCAAGATGTATCTTTTCGACGTGTCCGTCGATTTCCATGAGCAGTATTACAAATTCATTGATGGCTCCGTTTTTATTAAGAGTTCCATCTGCATTATAGACTGGAATAGGTCTCGGTATCTTCCTTGTCTCATATCCTTTGTCTTTCACAAATTGGGAGTCGATGCAACTCCCCGTGCATCCACTGTCCAATAGTGCTTCGACTGTTTCTGTTTGGAGAGTATCTAATGTAGTAAGCTTACATTTTACGTTCATTTGATTGCCTTGGGTGCCCCTAATGTACTTTTTTGGGGAGGCAATTTCTATGATCGCTTGTATAGCTTCTACTTTTGGTAACCGGTTGATTTCTTTGATCGTTTCCCGGGTTACTTCTCTCGTTCTTTTTTTATGTGTCCAGGCACTTAGAATCCCAATGGATCTTTCTTCCTTTTGGTCTCTTAGCCTGTCTACTACCCACTCTGGGGTCCAAACTTCTGTTCTAGGTTTTTTTAAAGGGGTTCCTGACCTTTCTTCTACAGTCTCTGCTGCGTTTTCCTCCGTAGAGTTCGCCGCATCGGGTGTAGGAATCTTAGGTTCTATTGTAAATGCTGCGCTTTTTAGTGATTCGCCCGCCGTCGAAACTGCGGATGTCTTATCACTCTGCGCCGCTCTTACTCTAGTTGCATCTTTTTCGTTTCGGATTTCTTTCTTTGTCTGAGTGGAAATAATTGTATTGTCATCCGCGCTAAAGCTGCAGCGTAACAATTCTGAGTCACATGTATCTACAGTCAAAGGAAGAAACCGATTCGAAACGTCTTTAGGCTCAGTCGGTCGATGCGGTACCGCTGGCCTCTTTAAAAACCCTCAAGGAGTTTTTCCCTTTCCTCTTTCGTCATCTTTTCTAAGAACTCTCGGACATTAAATTGTGGCTTCCTTTTTTGTGCGTCTTTGCATTCGAAGCTTCTATGTCCCTTTTCTCCGCATCGGTAGCATCGTCCTTCCGTGCGGAACTTTGCTTTGTCTACTTCCATTCTTTCTCCGCTACCGGTATAGGTATATCCGGTTCCGTCTTTCTTCTTCTCTCCTTCTTTCTTTTGTTCCGAATAGGGTTTCTTCCCAGTATCGGAACCTTTCTTCTCTTTCTCTCTCTCTCTCCAAATATAGTCTATTCTGATGAGTTCCCTTTTCCACTCTTGGTAATCTCTTGGAATGTGCCCGCCGTAGATCACCCTATCCACTAGCGGTTTGTTCATATTCCTTCTGAGTAGAGATACTAGGAACTCTTCATTTATTCTATTTGTGTATCCCGCCCATCTTTTCTTCTCTTCAAACCTTTCAAAGAAGGCTTGGGCGGTTTCATTGCCCTGTCTCAGGGTCAGTATTTCGTTCTTGGCAGTTTCTTTTTCAAAACTGTCCTTGAACCTTTCTTCCATTTTGTCCGCAAAATACGGCCAACTTCCGTACGTGTTTGTAATATCGAGCCCCAACTGTTGGGCATCGACTCGGTTCTCTAGCCAATCGGTCCGGAAGGCCGCGGCTTCTCCTTCTTTCATAAAAGATAGCACAAAGCTTATCTTCTTTCGATCATCTTTGAAATATACGGCATCATCTTCGAAATGCAGTAATAAGGACTCTCTAAAGGCCCTATACTTTTTCTTATCTCCGGAGAAGTTCTCGGGTTTCTCCAGTGCCGTTCTACTTCTTTCCACCTTTTCTGGAGGCGGCGGTATCTGTTTCTTTAGTCTTCTTTGCAAGACGCTCACTTCTTCGAGTGCCTCGTCTAGCTGCGATTGGTAGTGCATTTGCGTTTGTCTTATCGCCTTTTCTACTTCTTGTTTTACGTATGCTTCCAATCGCGCTTCTTTCGGGGGGGGAGTTTCTATTCTGGGTAATGCGTCCATCATTTCCCTGGTAAATGCGCTGTCCGTGCTGTTGGATGGCTCGGGCAGATCGCGATATTCTAGGTTGGACATTAAACGTGAGTTGGGGAGGAGGGGGAGTTTCGGATTTGATTAAAGGGGATGGTATTCTGATGGGTTCTATTTCTGGTAAAGGGAATTTCCCTTTGAATACGTAATCTTGAGAGTAAATGTGTTGCTCTCCGATCCAAATGTAAAAGTCTCTACTAAGCATAGAAAGGAGTTCACCAGTGATAAGCTGGATCGATACACCGCTTTCTAAGATCCTAGTAGTCTATCTATTCTCTTTGAGTCAAAGTGGTCCTCTTCAGCCCACTACTGACTATGTAGGTATGGTAACTATTTTTGTATTTTATGAATTTTATGTAAAAAGTATAGTGGTAAATTGGGGTCCGAACGGTTGTCCCAATGTGACCAGCTTATTAAGCTTTCAGTCCTTCTCCCGACTGGCGGACGCAAATGCGCGGCCTGGTCAGAGGAAATCGAAAATGAAACTAGGTAAAACCGAGAAAATCCCAATGGTTCCACACCAAAGAGATTATAGTGATATAAATGTATTTATAGGGGGATGGTTACGAAGGAGTCTTGGGATGAGGAAGGTGATACGTTGGCGGGAAAGAAAGATAAGATGGTGTCGGGGCGAGTAGGGATGTGATGGAGTGGAAGAGTAGTGGTAGTTTGGGTTGAGTGTTTGAGTAGGGTTAGGATTAGTAGGATGATGATGATGGTGACGATGATGGTTGTTAGGATTGTTGCTGTTAAGTTCATAGACGGTACTTGTAGCAGTTGTTGATTGTGTAAAACCTCTATCCCCTATACCGAGTTAACGGAGGGATAAAAGCTCAAATCAGACAAGTAGCGTTTCAAGTAACGATTGAGAATTAATCAACAACTGAGGAAAGTATGTACATGATGGTCTACTATATATATGTTTCTGAAAGTCAGCCATGAGGCGCTGACTGATGTTCTTTGTAATAATTCTAGACTCATGTCACGTGGTGGTCACGTGATCTGATATAACTACGTATTATGTTATCCGCGCTAAAGCAGCAGCTTAACATATCTTATCTGTCATGTGATCAGATGTAAAAGAAAAGGAAAAAGAAACTTAGCGCTTAGACTAGCGCTTCTGGTTCAAGTCGTGACATCACCTGTCCCAAATTGGAACTACTCTCCTCCCTCCCTCGCCAGTACAACCAGTCCATTGGTAAGGCCATAAAACCGTCGGATTTGGACTAGGTGGTGGACCGGTGGCTCCAGTTTCTTTTTTTCAGCAGAACATTCATTTACAGTGCAATTATTTTGATTTTTGAATCATTTTATGGACACATATTTTTTTAGAATGCCTGACTGACAATAAAGGAACTGTGTTGATACTGATATTGTTTTTCTTTATACTCTTTTTTACTGCATCTTCTTATGACATCACAATTTTCTTGCTCTCTTTCTGTTATTGGACTTTGTTTTTTATGGCTGTACAAACCTGTAACATTACCTACACAGCATTTATTGTTCTATCTCTTTCTTTTCCTTATTTTGACAATCTTATCCTGTACTACCTATGCAGGATTTGTCAGCGTACATTCCTTCCTTCATGTTCTTTCTCATTCTTTTTGCACAGCTATACTGTGCATAGCCTACCTTTTTTTTACTATATAAACCCCTGTATTTTACCTTGTAAAAACAACATGAACTCCATTCCAGACTTTTTCTCTAATTTCAAGTTCACTACTCTGCTACTTGTGATCCAGTGTGGTCACAACACTTTCCACTGCTACCACTGTTAACTGCTGTCATCGTCACTTGTCACTTTTGAAAGTCATTGTCATCCCTTTTGATTAGAGTCCTTCTGAGCACTACAGTTTGTGCGTCAGGAGCCTGCTATCACTGGGAACCTCGTCATTTTGTCGTTCTCAAACCTACCTTGTGCTATAATTAGCAAAATAGTGCTCGTCTATACTCGTCATAAACCCCCTATCTTCTATAGTTCAACTATCCCTCCTCCTCAAAACCCACACCCATACATCCTTGGGTTTGACTTTGAAAAATCATCACACGTACCACCCCACGAACATCCAGACCACTCCACTGTTCTAGGAGGCAAAGCCTATACACAAGTTCTGTTACAATTGACGTACCAGTACCTACTTACGCTTCACTCTTTTGTACTTTTACTTTTACTTTTTCCAAGTCACATGCTAAACATCGGACTTTAAACTTTATTTACAACTGTACAGTACCTCATGTATTTTAGTATATATACAGGAGCAATACATGGGGGAGGGACTCAGCGAGTCCTCCTGTTGTGTACCAACAACTAACTTGTTCCTACCAAATGGGTAACCACTCCCACCTCTTCCTCTTCTTTTGAGTGTTGTTTTCATTGTGCTCCAGTGCCCCAAGACTGTGTCTTGTTGGTGTTGTCACAAATTCCGTGGAATCTGGGAGGATTGTTTGTGAGTTTGTTTTTGTGTGTGGTTTTCTAACAACAATTCTCATTATCGACAACGGATGAAGTTGTGAAGGAAGCAAATGGCAGGTGGGATGAAAGCCTGCACAGACATGTTGTATTCAGGTGCAGCCTTCAAGATTGAAAACCGGTGCTTCAGAACGCCAAAGATACGCTCAATGATGTTCCGAGCCGATGCATGGCGCAAATTGAAGTACTCTTGCGGGTTCTGGGGCCTTTTAGAAGTGAGCTTAGTCCAAATATATATATTAGGGACTTACCTGCGGTTTCCACAAGTGTATTTGGCCAGGTGGTAGCGCACACCTTTGTAGGGGACAAGGAGCTGGTCAGATGAGGGAATCCCACATCGGCCATATAGTATTGGCCACGGGGTATTTACAGATCATGGGAGCGAGCATTGTGAAAGAGACTAGCATCCGCAGCAGACCCCCCCACCTACTAAGGACATACGTAAACTGCATGTTGAAATCACAGCACAAAAGGCAGTTCTGCGAGAAAACACCCTTGCAATTTTGCGTAGCATCACGCTGTGCAGCTGAAGGGCTGCAGGCAATATGGGTGCCGTCAATTGCACCAATGGCATCCTTGAAGTGGTGAAGTTTTGGGTAGTTGGCAAAAGCAGCTGGTGTGGCCTCAGTGGCCTCAGGAAGACGTACATAGGAGTTGTAGATATTGGTGGAAGTGAAAGCCTGAAGCATCCGCTTGAAATACTTGGCAATTGTGTTGTTGGAACATTGAAAGCATTCAGCGAGATGGCGGGTAGATAGACCCATGACACAGCTATACAGAAAGTTGGTGGTTTGTTCCTCCAGCATGACATGCTTGGAGTCAGTATACCCATAACTCTGCAAGAAATCGATAAGCTTTACAAATACTTTTTGTTGCATCCCCAACTCAGTCCTTATTCGATCAGGATGACCGTCCATTAATTCTCTAACCCATCCATAACCCGTCAGAATTGAATTATGATATGGCCTTGGCTGTGGTCACTGCTCCTGCTCCTCAGCAACAGCTTGAGCTGTAACAACCAAGAGTTTGTTACTCTGGCACACAACTTGGACAAGCAAAGAGAAGAGAGAGAGAGGGATCACCCCTCAGGTTTCCACGGGTTTGTTGTGCTAGACAATAGGAGGACTTGCTGAGTCCTTCAGCATGTGTTGCTCCTGTATATATACTAAAATACATGAGGTACTGTACAGTTGTAAATAAAGTTTAAAGTCCGATGTTTAGCATGTGACCAGTCACATGGTGAGCCTAGACACTGGTCAGGTGATGTATCACATGATTGGTCATGTGACTATGAAAAGTCGAAAATGTAAAGTAAAGTAAATGGTCACATGACCAGTCATGTGACTTGGAAAAATAAAAGTAAAAGTACGAAAAAGGTGAAGTGTAAGTAGGTACTGGTACGTCAATTGTAACATGAGCTGTTGCAACGATCAACTGAACAAGGACTGACATGAACCTTGACATCTGCAGGCCATATGAGAGGATCTGTTTGTTAGAAAACGCGAGTCGACAAAGACAAGCGTCGTACGAAGGGAAAGTATGGCGCAGGACACCATACTAGGAAAGTGTAGTGGTAGGATGGCCCGTGCGTTTTGATGGGGCAATTTACCCCCTTAGTTATACTTCCGTTCGAGTTTAAAAACCTTCGTAGCAACGATTGCCCCACCTCAGAGCTTCGCCCACAAAGTCTGAGGTGAGGATCTTATACCTTCCTTATTTTATGTGATATACTTACTCTGTACCTAGCATTTGGTTTATATTAGGTACGCGAATACATTCTCAGAGCTTCGCCCACGAAGTCTGAGCATTTGGTTTATATTAGATCTCTTTGAGGTTATGAGCCCTGCGAGTGAGA